AATTAGAGCATAGATCTTATTAATAATTGTGGCTTCTGGCGGGGGCCGGATGGGTGAGTTGTAGCCTGCTTCCAAATTTTGGGGGAAAGAAATTCTGGCTGCCAGTCCGATACGACGCATCAAATATTGGTATTTTCTGTCGGCGTTTACCCCTCCTCCCCATAAACAGGATCTCATTCTAGCCTTTTAAGTGGTTTCAGCTGCTCACGGGGCAGTTGGTTGAGGGGGTTGGACTAGATGACCTGCAAGGTCCCTTCCAATTCGGATGATCTGCTCTCTCTCTCTCTCTCGGAAGCCAGCCAGCCCTCCCCCACCCTTCCTTCGCTCCCCGTACCTCCCTCTAACGGCCGCCAAAGCAGCCGTTGGCCGCCCGGTTTCGGGGTCTCCATCTGCCCGCACCTGTTTGGGGGCTCACCTGCGTTCCGATAGGGGGGAGGGGGCGTTGGCAGAAGGGGGAGGGGCTTCCCACCCACCCCGTTTGCCTCCTTGGGACGAGAGCTCCTTCCGCTCCTCGGCTCGGGGCTGGTTTGGCTCACCTGGGACTTTCCCCTCCCCCCTCCCCCCCGGAGTCCCCGGCCTCTTGGCTGCCCCTTTGCAGGCCGGCCAGGTGAGCTGAGCCAGGTAAGGTGGGTCCAGAAGGATCACCTGTCAACCTGGTCTTTTGTCCGAATCCTGGGAAAGGATGTTCTCTGCCCTAATCCCAACCGGTTGAACCCGTCAATCGGGGCGGTGGGGGGTGGGATCTGGTAAGGTATTCGATCCGGACCCTCCCCGTCCTCCCCCCCACCTCCGGGGTCGGCGCAAGAGGCTATAAAAGCAGAGGGCAAAGGGGGCCCCTCCGACTCCCCAGGTCAGATGGCGCCGGTGACCATGGTGGCGTTGGGGCTGTGGCTCTTGGGCGCGGCCCTGGCGGGAACGGGCGGCGGCGGGGAAAGCCGGCCTCTCATTGGGGTGTCCAACGGGGGTCCCTGGGGTGCCTGGGCCTGGCAGGAGAGCTGCCCCCGAGGGACCCTCGCCACGGGGTTCAGCCTCAAGGTAAGCGGGCGGCCCTCTTCTGCCTCGGCCCTGCGTGGCGGGGCTGCCAGGGGTCCCCCTGAAGGGGAGGCAGATCGGGCAGGGGAGGGGGAGGGGGATTCGCCGGAGGCACCTGCGGGGAAGGTAGATCGGCCAGGGGAGGGGGAGGGGGAGGGACAGGGGGACACCCCGGAGGCACCTGCCCAGCGTGGTGCCTGAATGCCCTTCAGCTTAGCCGACCTCGACTCGAGTAGCGTCTTCCTGCCCTTACGACACCCCCTCTCCGGCTCCCCGTGGCCCTCGGCCTCCCGTCCCTGCCGGTGGCCTGAGCGTCCCCTCCCTCTTTCCTTCCTTCCCTCCTTCCCTCCCTCTTTCTGCCTCCCCCAGGTGGAGCCCTACCAAGGGCGGACGAAAGACGACACGGCCCTGAACGGCATCCGCCTGCATTGCACGCCGGCCCGACCAGGCGGGAAGACGGAGGCCGAAACGGTGGAGTCCCAGAGTAACGTGTGAGTCTGCCCATCCTGCCCCCCATCCCACCCCCGGGGCAGCCCCTCACCCCACCCCCGCCTTCCCACTCCACCCACCGCCCTCCTGCCAGCTCTGTTTGGGCCCTGGCATCGGCTCAGGGCATGCGGATGCCCAGCGGCCGGAGGAAGGGCCCGCGATGCCCAGGACGGGCCCTCAAGGGGGGCTGCCAGGTGCTGAGGAGTGCCACACCTGAGCGTCCTGGTCTCTACCTTTCCTCAGGTGGGGCCGGTGGACCGAGCCCCTCTGGTGCCCCTCCGGCAGCTACCTGACCGGCTTCTCCCTACGGGCGGAGCCTCTCCGGCGCGGCCTCCGGGACTACATGGGCGCCACCAACCTCCGCTTCGCCTGCTCCGGCGGGGCCGTCCTGGAAGGGCCAGGCCTGGCGTGGGGAGAGTACGGAGCCTGGAGCCCCTCCTGCCTCAAGGGCCTGTGTGGCCTCCAGACCAAGCAGGAGCCCCTCCGGGGGGCCCTCCAGGACGACTCGGCCCTCAACGACGTCCGCTTCCTTTGCTGCGCCCAGTGAGCGGAGGCCCCGGCGGGGAGTGAGTCCAGCCTGGCACCCGCGGGCACCGACACCCGATCCCTTGGGGGAGGGGAGAGGACCAGGACCGGGGGCCCCCGCTTTGTGACGGGAACCTCCCCTCCGGGGGCTATAACGTCTCACGGGGCGGGGCGGGGGGGTGTCCTGCAGGAAGCGGACAGGGCGCCGCAGATGCCATCCATATCCCGTGTTGCCGCTTTCTGGTTCCACCCTCTCCGCCCTCACGGCCCCCAGCCCTCCCCTTCCCTGGGAGTAAGTGTGGGAGTCACCTCTTGGGGAGCCCTCCCCCTCCAGAGCCCCACCCTCCCCAGGCCAGATGCCCCCAGCTGAGATGCAGGCTGGCCTCCCCCACCCGAAAGAGGCTCCCCTTGTCCCCTCGCAACTGTCGGCCAGGTAGAGCGAATGAGCCGCCTTTCTCATCCTCGGCTCCTTTTCTCCGCAGGTCCCACCGGTTGGCTACCCCGGGAACCCCCCCTCTCTGCCTCCCCCCCCCCCCCCCCCGTTCAGTCTCCTGCCAAGAAGCTTCGAAGCGGAGGGAGGCTCCGGTTTATTTGGGGGTGTGCGGGGTTGTGTGTATTTGTCTTCCAATAAACCTTCCAGATTGCACCTCCGCCGGCCAAGACGTTTTGGGGAGGGGGCCGTTGGGCGGAGGAGCGGACGGGTCGGTGGAGGAGCTCCGGCCGGTCCGGCCGGTCCGTCGGTCCGTCGGTCTCACAGGCCTTCCCCCTGCAAGGAGCCGAAAGGACAGTGACGGTCAGTCACGGGGGGGGGGCCAAGAAGGGTTGAGAGTCTCGCGTCCGCCTGCCCCCCGCCCTCCCTCTGCCCGCCGACTTACGGCGCGGTCGCTGTCCTTCCGGCAGTCGCCGCAGGCGGTGCCCAAGAGGCCGTTGATCACCTGGATGGCGCACAGCACCATCTCCAGCAGGCTCAGCCCCAGCAGGATGGAAAACAGCACGATGTGCCAGAGGACGATGGACGGCGGGTTCGCGCACAGCTCCCACAGCGTCTCGTTCTGGAGATAGCTGTCGCTGTTGGGGAGGGGAGGGGAGGGGGGGGGAGAGGCGGGGAGAGCCCAGCCCCCGAAGGGGAGGCACCCCAAAACCTCCCCCTCCCCATTCCCCGCATGGCCCCCCGCTCGCTCCCGGCCCACCGCGGCCTCGCCCGCCACAGCCAGGAGAGGGAGGGCTGTCCGGCTCACCTGAGACCCTTGAAGGGGGATTCCCACTTCCCCGGCTTGGTTTCGCACCAGGGTCCGTCGGCCAGGGCGGTGGAGGAGACCACCAGGCAGTAGAAGGCGCCCAGACCCCCCCAGATGGAGCAGAGGACTGAGCGCAGCATCTGCGGCGGCGGGTGGGGGAGGGAGCGAAGAAGATGAAGAGGAGGGTGAGGGAGGGGCACCTGGCTGTCGGTTTAGCCGGCTCGCCTGGCTGCCTTGGGATGGCTGAGGAGTGTCTTGAGTGAACCGTGGAGGGTTTTGAACTCGCCGCCGCCCCCCAATACAGAAGGGCAACCCCGCCGGCCAGGTGAGCTCGAGGAGGTGCAGCCAACAGGTGGAGGAGGACGACGCAAACTCCTACCCCGGTGTAGCCCACCTGGCTTCGGCAGACCCCGCCGGAAGGGGCAAGGGGGGGAGGGGTCTGTCCACCTTTTGGCTCAAGCGTCCCAGGGATCCCCCTCCCGCCTCCCACCTACCCGGCAGCGGTTCCCACAGCATCCGTAGCCGCAGCAGCCCTTCCCGCCGGC